AACAGATAGGGGGAATCATAGTTCCGTCTTGATCTTATGACCTATTTGTTTGAAATAATTACTTGTTGCATGCTTTCCCAAATCTGACCTTCTCACTTTGCTCTTGGGTTTTCAAATTCATTATGGAATATATTATTGTCTTCATCACAATTATCTGTATGATCTATCTCCCAATTATTTTATGTCTAACTCCTCACGATTGGAACTTGGAAATCGTTAAATCCTTTCTTAGCTTGTTATTGCAAAAGAATCATGTTGGCTAGTTCTACTATTGAAGATTAGCCTTTCCTTTATGGCTTGTAATGTGCACAATTGCAATTCCGAGATGGGATGTGTTACGACTGTTGTTTTTCCTTTAATGATATGCTATACTGAATTGTAGCAGTTTCTTGCTACAATTTGTTGAAAGTAGACAAGTTGTATTTCATTGCCATGTGATCCTTTTAGATATATGGGTTTTTACTGAGTAACTTCTTTGGTATGTTATTCATTTATCTAAATTTAAGCATTTTTTGGATCTTGGTGCTTTAGCAGTCCTACAAAGTAGAAAAAGGTACTAAGCAGAATGGCCAGTACCATTGGTACTCCACTGTTTGCTGATGCTTGTACAGGAAATCAACAGAGGATATCATATGCTAGAATCTTGATTGAGGTAAATGTGACTAAAACCTTGCCTACAGAAGTGACTGTGATGGATCCATCTGGAAGGCAATTTCAGCCATCAGTTGAATTTGGGTGGAAGCCAGAGTTTTGTACTGAACGAATGCATGAAAATTGGGCATGACTGCAAAGAGGAAAAAGGAGCAGCAAGGTCAACCAATGAAGAGAAGGAAGCCAACAAAAACAGTACAAACTTGAGTAGCAGAAAGGGTAATACAGCAGCAAGGAGCAGGAAGCCTAGTAATGCCTCATCAACAAGAAGATGCAGGGATATGTTTGATAGATAAATGTAAGGCAACTGCAAGGGGAGCAGAAGGAGAGTGGTCACAACTAAAGAGCAAAGGCAGTAGTCCAAAGAAGAGAACAGAATACCAAAGGGCTGATGCAGAGGAAAATGAAAGGAATGAGGGTCAGAAAGATTCAATGGCCAACTCAGAAGGAATGTATGCAGTGTCAACAAAGAATGGCTTCCAAGCTATTATGCCTGAGAAACAATTGGGTAATGCAAAGCCTCCTGATAAAAGAGGAGGAATAAACACCACTCAATGACTCGGTTGTTTTGGAACGTGAGGGGAATAAACTCAATGGCCAACTCAGAAGGAATGTATGCAGTGTCAACAAAGAATGGCTTCCAAGCTATTATGCCTGAGAAACAATTGGGTAATGCAAAGCCTCCTGATAAAAGAGGAGGAATAAACACCACTCAATGACTCGGTTGTTTTGGAACGTGAGGGGAATAAACTCAATGGCCAACTCAGAAGGAATGTATGCAGTGTCAACAAAGAATGGCTTCCAAGCTATTATGCCTGAGAAACAATTGGGTAATGCAAAGCCTCCTGATAAAAGAGGAGGAATAAACACCACTCAATGACTCGGTTGTTTTGGAACGTGAGGGGAATAAACTCAATGGCCAACTCAGAAGGAATGTATGCAGTGTCAACAAAGAATGGCTTCCAAGCTATTATGCCTGAGAAACAATTGGGTAATGCAAAGCCTCCTGATAAAAGAGGAGGAATAAACACCACTCAATGACTCGGTTGTTTTGGAACGTGAGGGGAATAAACAAGAGGTACAAACAGAAGGAAATCAAGCAGTACCTCATAGAAAATCACATAAAAATAGCAGGTCTTGTAGAAGCAAAAGTCAAGGAGAATAATGCACAACATGTTGCTGGGAAAATTGCATGTACATGGAGTTTGCTCAACAACTATGGTGATCCTAGTAATGGGAGAATTTGGATTATGTGGGATAGCAGACTCTGCAGTATCAAAAAATTGGCAAGCCAAGCACAATATATACATTGCCATATCATGGGGAAGCACAATGGAGTGGATTGCTTACTAACAGTTGTTTATGGTTTTAATACAATGGAGCAGAGAAAGATGTTGTGGTCTAAATTAAACTATCTGGGTTCAGGGATTAATAAGCCTTGGTTAATATGTGGGGATTTCAATGCTATATTATATGTTCAGGGATTAATAAACCTTGGTTAATATGTGGGGATTTCAATGCTATATTATATCCTCAAGGTAGACTATATGGTGTACAAGTGACAATGGCTGAAATTAAAGATTTTGCAGATTGCTGTCACAATCTCTCACTGAATGAACTTCCATGGAAGGGAGATTATTACACTTGGTCAAATAAGCAGCAGGGGAGTGATAGAATATATAGCAGAAGACTGGATAGAGCAATGGCAAATGATGAATGGATGCTACATTATGGGCACTCGAGTACAGTATGGGGAGCCATATGTTTCTGATCATGCGCCTATGCTTATTCAAATGAGAAGCACTATGAGAAACATAAAAGTCCCATTCAGGTTCTTAACATTTGGGCATACCACACACAATTCAAACAGCTAGTGGCAGTGTTGTGAAGAGCGTGAAGCGAGGAAAAGCGACAACCCTCATTTCGCTTAAAGCGAGAAGCGAGAAACGAAGCGCTCGCTTTTTTGAAGTGAAGCGGAATTTTAAAAAAATATTAAATAAATTCTGTTAAGAGGAAGGGCGGTATACCATTGTGTTAAAAACTGGGCAGCATAAAAATAGTGAAGGAAGAACTGGGCAGCATTTCAACGAAGAGGATAAGACTGAGAAAGAAGAACCGAAGGGAAAAAAAATTCGCCAGCATTTCACTGCTATTTGGACGCTGAAACAGTGAAAGAAGAAGAAGAAGAAGAGTGTACAAGACTCGGAATCCTAGCCTCTTTCTCTCTGTTGCTGCTGGTAGTATATTTTAATAAAAAAACACCTTTCTTTTTAATCAAATCGGCTGGCAGGTGTTTAAAACAGAGAAGTGTTCGTTTTGGTCGCCTCGCTTCGCTTCGTCGCTTCTCGCATTTTAGTGTGAAGCGCACGCTTTTGCCTACCTAAGTCGCCTCATATAGCAGAAGCGGTCATAGTGTCGCCTCGCTTCGCTTCTCGCTTTTAGCGAGGAAGCGACCGCTTTTCACAAAACTGGGAGGATGGTTGGGCAAGGAACCAAACAACAGAGAATGAAAAATGTTTGGCTCAAAATGAAGGCCCTTAAAGTAGATCGTAAAAGATTGAATTCCGAGGAGTTTAAAGGGATAGCAGAGAAGATTAGTCAGGCTAGAGAAGCACTAAAGGATATACAAGGGAGGATGCAAAATTATTATTCAGATAGCTTAGCTGATCAGGAGGAGGACTGCTTACAACAACTTGAAAGGTGGTCTATGATTGAGGAAAGTGCAGTGCAACAAAAAGCCAGAACTTGCTGGATGAAGTCTGGACCCTGTTTAACACACACAGCAAGTTGCATTATGTGCTGATGTAACAGATGAGCAGGTCTATGAAGGCTTATGTTCGATAGGAGATGACAAAGCCAGGAATAGATGGATTCAATGCTGTGTGTTTCAAGAAATCGTGGAATATAGTGAAACAAGATGTGAAGCAGTCAAAGATTTCTTCATCACAGGGAAACTCTATAAGGCAATCAACTGCACCACTCTCACCTTGATTCCAAAGACACCTAATCCAGCTATGACTACAGGCCCATAGCATGTTGCACAGTACAATACAAACTAATATCAAAAGTGTTGGCTGCTAGATCACAGAAGGTGATGAGTTACATTATATCTGAGGCTCAAGCAGGGTTCATCCCAGGAAGGAGGGCACGTAATATAATTTTAGCTCATGAGCTAGTTAAATCATATAATAGAAAACACATTTCTTTTTTATGAAGGTTGATATACAAAAAGCGTAAGACTGTGGAGTGGGTGTGTTTGCAACAAGTCATGGAAGGATTGGGATTCCCTGAGAAGTTTATTGGATGGATAATGACTTGTGTCCAACCAGTTAACTACTCTATTATGCTTAATGGTGAATCCGTAGCACCGTTTAATGCAGCTAAAGGGCTAAGACAAGGGGATCCAATATTCCCTTTTCTCTTTGCTATTGCGATGGAATATTTGAGCAGGTTGCTTAATGGATTGAAGAAAGAGAAAGGGTATAAATTCCATCCGAGATGTGGAAAGCTGGGTATTATTCACTTGGGTTTTGCTGATGACCTGTAATTATTTTCCAGAGGGGACAAAGAATCCGTTCAAAAATTACAAGCATGCTTTAATACATTCTCAGCAGCATCAGGAATGAAGGCTAATATGGCTAAGAGTGCAGTATATTGTGGAGGCATCAACACTAAGGAGAAAGATGAGATACTACAATTGCTAGGCTACAGTCAAGGAGAATTGCCATTTAAATACTTGGGAGTTCCACTTGACACAAACAAGCTGACTGTAGTACAATGGCAGCCACTCATTGGGAGAATAGTGTCCAAGATTACATCTTGGACTGCAAAAAAATTGTCATATGCTGGAAGAATTTCAACTGGTGCAATCAGTGATCTTTGGCATGCAATCATACTGGTCCCAAATCTTCACATTGCCAGTTAAAGTCCCAAAGTTAATTGAAGCCTATTGCAGAAGCTATATGTGGTCTGGGAGTAATAAGATTACTAGGAAAGCACTAATTGCCTGGGAGAAGATATGTCAACCTAAAGCAGCAGGAGGACTCAATTTACACAACATAAAGCAGCAATTGCAAAGACATACTGGGATCTAAGCCAAAAGCAAGATAAACTATGGACAAAATGGATACATGCATACTACATTGAAGGGCAAAATGTGGACAACATGACCATCCCACAAAGTGTAAGCTGGATGGTGAAGAAAATCCTAGGAGCCAGGGAGATTATTACACAGCTGAGTAGACCATTGAGTGAGCAGAAAAGTTTGATCAAACAAAACTACTTACAAATAAGTCCATCTTATCCAAGGGTTACAGTGGAGAAGGATGATGCACCAAAACACTGCAAGACCAAAAGCCATTGTTATAATGTGGCTCCACAATCATGGAAGGATGCTAACTGTAGACAGACTGATAAAATGGGGACTCAATATTAATCCCACATGTATTTTCTGTCGAGCTGAATGAGACCAGAGATCATCTCTTTGTAGAATGTAGATATGCCAACCAACTATGGTGGAGATCGTTTCTATGGCTACAGATGCAACCTGTGGCAATTAATACTTGGGGGCAATTCTTTCAGTAGTTTATAGAGCAAACAAAAGGAAAATCAAAGCATGCACAAGTGCTAAAAATGATAGATGCTGAAACTATCTATGCATTGCGGAGGGAGAGAAACAGCAGGATATTTGAAGGCACTTCGTGAGACTATGAAAGTGTAGCTCTCGTGAGATTGTATGTGTCTGCAACCTTTGAGCTGGAAGGAATGTGAAAGGATGGGTACAACAGCTATATTACTAGACCTGTAAATAAGAATAGTAGCTTAGATAGTAAAGTTGTCTAGGAATTAAGGAGTCTTTTCTAGTATACTGTCTCTAGATGATATTGCTAAGCTGAGTTTAAGCTTAGGTAATGCGCTGTACTGTAACTCAGCTTAGCTAATGCACTGTACTGTTTTCGCGGGTGATTAATGAAACTTTTAATTACCAAAAAAAAAAAAATCCCAGTATTTTACCACAAGTGGGGTCTAGGGAAAGTAAGATGTACACAACCTTACCCCTACCCTAGAAGGGTAGAGAGGCTTTTTCCGATAGACCCTCGGCCGACAGAGAACAAAAAAGGTCACAAATTCATATGAAAGTATTGCTTATGGGGGAACATGGGGGCAAAAAAAGGAAAGAGAGGGATGGGGTTTCTCTCGCTTTTGGCATAGCAGCTTCACCATCTTTTGTGCTTGAAGGCAGGCGCTGACTCGTCTACCTCTTATCGTCAAAGAATTTGCATATACTGCAAAAGTACTTTGACATGGAAAATACATTGCATGAGGGTGTCGTGCAGCTAGGTCCAATTGCTTGAACTTTCAAACAACGGATGCACATAATCTCTACTGTTGCTTTCCCGAAAAAAAGGTAGACATGAGATGTAAAGAACCCATCTGCAACCTTAGGTATTTCTAGCTAAGGTTTACCTGTCCATTGAATGGTCGCTCACTTCATCATGGCAGAATCTGCATGTAAACAATTTTCCACACCAAGCTGCAGGAAGTTTGCAGTTTCTTCCGTAGTGCTCACATCCAAAAATCTGCTTCTCTGGATCTCGAAAGGACGGTGAACACCCAACATCTTCATTACAAGAAACTTCTTCTATTGATGCTTGTGATTTCTGCTGAGAGGCTATCCAACAGCTGAGTACATAGAAAAATCATCAAGATGCGGTTTACTGTTTATTAATGTACAGATTTTGCAACAGATAAAAAGAGCAAAAAAAAAACACTAATACAAACCTAGTCATCAGATTTTGAATTAAATAAGATTTCCTTCTTGGATCAAGAGTTGAATCCCTGTTAACTTTTCTAATCTCTGACTCAAGTCTGTTTGGTTCATACGGAAATGTCTTTCCAGCTGGGTTTGAACATATGGTCACTCTGGTCCAAGCCTTCATGAAAAATGAACAACTGAACCTAGTATTTTTCAAGGAACAAATGTTACCTCCATTGAATGCATTAACTGTCAAGCCATAAATTAAGCTCTAAACTGCAGTTCCTAGAGCAAGATACACAAAGAAATAAGTGAGGGCATAACATTAACCTCTGTTTGTATTGCTAGTTTGCAAGGCTTTTCAGGCTGTGCAGATATTTCAGGAGTTCGTCTCCAACACTCGTTGAGCCATTCGCTGAACATGGTGTTTTTAGTAGCCTGCTTTAATGTGTCCATCATCTTATTCTGCTCATCCTGAGGAAGAGCAGAGGTTATCCAGGGCAACATTGATTGAAGTACTTCAGCTCCTGTGCTTCCAATTATACGACCAACAATGATTTCTTGCTCCTCCACAGAGAAATGTTTGCCAAGCAGTGGCCACAACTCCACATCTTTTTCTTCCTTTTGCCTACTGATTGACCCTGCCAACTTTCCAGCAGACTTCTAACACTGTTTGGTATTGCCCACTTCACACCATATATGTTAAGGAATAGGTCCCAAATCTGTCTGGTCTGCCGGCAATGAAGAAACAAATGATTTACAGACTCCAGGCTTTCTTCACAGAAAAAACATCTACTGCATAAAGCAAAACCTCTTCTTTGTAGCATATCTTGGGTAAGACATCTATTCCAGGCTACAGTCCATCCAAATCCAGCAACTTTTGTTGGTGCTTTGGTCTTCCAAAGCATCTTTCATGGCCATGATTCCTCCCGCTGCCCAGTTTCTTGTTGAAGAAGATTATAGCAGCTTTTAACGGAGTATTTCTTATCTCTACTGGCCATCCAAATCTGGGCATCTTCTCTACTATCATCCAAGGCTATAGGCTCTAAAATTTTGCGTAGTCGACAGATATCTTCCACTTCCCAATCATTGAAGTGTCTTCTGAAAATTGGTTGTCATCCTGTTCCTGTGGCATTCTGCAACAGTGCAAAGTTTGTTAGTAGTAATGCTATAAAGATGGGGAAATTTTTCTATCAGTTTTCCTTCTCCGGCCCAGACATCTTTCCAGAACCTAGCTTTGTTCCCGTTTCCAATCTTCACCATTATGTTTCCTTGTAGTAAAGGCCATAAACTACTTATATACTTCCACAGAGAGGCACCTGCATATGTAACCACTGGACTAGGATCCCAATAGTCTATTTTACCTATTTAATGGTAATCAGCTTTTTCCATGGTTCCTCACCTTCTTCATTAAATCTCCATAACCATTTGCACAATAGACTCTTGTTGTAAAGCTTCAAATTCCGCACTCCAAGCCCTCCAGCTTCCTTGTTTCTCATTACTTTCTGCCAATTGACCAAATGCATTCTCCTTTTTCTGCATTGCCTTCCCATAGAAACTGACTCCTATGGAATTGATTTTCTTCTCAATTGCGAGGGTATAGGAAATAAAGACATCAAATAGGTTGGTATGCCATCCAACACACTATTAACCACAGTGATTCTTCCACCAAAGGACAGATATTGCTTGTACCATGTGGACATCTTCTTTGTACATTATCAATTAAACTTTGCCATGTGGACACCAAGTGGAAGCCCCAAATAGTTGGTTGGAAACTTTTCAATTCTGCAACCCAGAATATCAGCCAGTTCCTCAATCATGTTATCAGCATTAATACTGAAAATACAACTCTTTGTCAGGTTTATTTTCAAGCCTGAGACTTCAAATGCCAACAGGATCCCTCTAGGATAGAGAATTTTCTCCCTCTTGGCTTCACAAAATAAGGGTATCGTCTGCATATAAGATGTGTGAGACATTCATTTCTCCTCTTTCATGATTCTCCATTCTACAACCCCTCTCAGATCTTTTTAACTTAAACTCAAAATTTCCATCACCAGGACAAAAAGATAAGGGGAGAGGGGATCCCTTGTCTCAATCCTCTCTGGGAGCTAAAAACTCCTACAGGATTTCCATTCACCAACACAGAAAACTTCACTGTTGATATACAAGTTCTGATCCATTCAATCCACCTCTCTCCAAAATTCATCATCTTCAAAATATTGAGCAAGCATTCCCAATACGAGATACTGTGAAAACTAGCATCCTATCGATGGAGATATAAGTGATGTCGACTTCCACATTTGACGCTTGATGAAACAGTTTCGAAAACCGAAGAGGGTTTAATATGTCATCCAAGTAAAATTATAGTAAATATTATCTCCCACATTTTGAAACTTCACGCATGACCAATTACAATTTTTTCCCGCGTGAAGTAGCAAAGGGAATAATTTGTTATTGGTCCTGCGTGAAGTTTCAAAATGTGGGAGATAATGTTTGTAATTTTACTTGGATGGCATATTAAACCCTTTTCAGTTTTCCAATGTATTTCATCAAAGAGTCAAATGTGGAAGTCGACACCACCTATATCTCTTTGATAAGATGCTAGTCCTCACAGTATCTCGCAAAGGCAAACGCACAAGAATATCATCAATTATATTATCTGAAGGTCGCGAAGTACATTGCGAGGTACACATTGTTGTTTTTTCCCTTAGGAGGCATCAATATGATCGACAACAAGAACCTGCAAAAATAAACAAGTATAAGGAATCTCCAAACCGTCTTTCCCCGTCTTTTTTTGTTGAAAAAAATTGAACCAGAACCATCTCTCACATCTTAAAATTATTTGTAACATTTGAACTCTTGGAACACATCTTAAATGACTTCGGCACACAATTAGCATATGCATATGATTACCACATTTATTTTAAAACTAAGAACTGCTCCAAGTAACCTTTTTATTTTATTTTTTTGCAAAAAACAGATATTGCTGAAAGAGAGGGAAAGCCCAAAAAAACAATATATGCAAATTAACAAGATTCTCAAATAACTAAAAGACTTCATTTGGAGTTTCATTTTTCACTTGTTGAATGAAAATTCACACTCCTGTAGATTCTTTCTCTCTCTATATATATGTGTGTGTTTGTAGGAGTTCTAATTTCTTTGCACATTTGTAAAATGGAAAAATTGCACTTTGCCTACTTTCAGTTTTTTTAGACTACATTTTGGCCCTTGTACAGCCGTGAAAGTTACTTTTTGAATGCCATGTGTAGGGGTGTTCATGGAAAATCAAACTAAACCGAATCAGACCTATAAAAAATTACTATATATTTTTTTTGTTTTGATTTGGTTTTGATTTTGAATTTAAGAAACCAAATAAATTTGCTTTAATTTTGGTTTTAAACAAAAAAAATACTCGGAAAAAAACGGTTTGATTAATTTGTAAACGATGGCATGATGGGCATAGATTATCATGTTTCTACATTTTCATGGTTCCATCGTAATACTAAATTTGGAAATTTAGTTGGTTTATTAAGCTAGATGACTTATGATCCTGTTTTTAGTTGTTGCAATTTCCATCGTGGTATAATAGTGTGTTTGGCCAAGCTTCTCTAAGGCCAAAAACACTTTTTTCAAAAAAAAAAAGTATATTTTTTTTAAAGTTGAAGAATTTGGCCAAGTTTTTAGAAGTAAAAAAAAGTGCCTTTGAAAAGAGCAGAAGTAGCACTTCAAAGCACATTTTAAAATAGTTCAAGGGGTAATAGGACCTCCAAAAAGAAAAGGTGTGTAGTTAGTAATATGGTCATATGTCGGGGAGGATTTTATGCATTATCCCCTCAAAAAACTTGGCAAGATCATGTTTTCCTGCCTTACCAGAAAAGTATACAAACGTAATTGAAACATTTGCGAGGAGAGGGACATTTATTAAATGAAGTACATGTATACTGCCAAAGAAGACAAATGACCCCAGCTTGGGAGCATTGACTTCAATGTGATTTAACTCACATAAACGTTCCATCACCAAATGCTCAAGCAACGGGGCATGGGAGATTAAACTTCCAAGAAATTCAGAAGACATTGTGACTTGACATAGTTCTAGGATACATCTCCTCTGGAAATACAATAAGTTTTCGGTAAACATTGCTTCATGACTTCATTTTAATGCATTTTCATAAGTGTATGTATCATCTTTTGGGCTTTGAGTCATCCTGATTTTTGACATTTTCTTCCCAAGAATTGATTGCCGACGCAGGTGAAGTACCAAGAAGGCTTTCCTCCGCTTTAAACTGTCTTAAACGTCTTCACATCAACTCGGTGTGCCGGGATGAATTAATTGAGCTTCAAGGTGCTCTTTGCTTGATTAAGAGCTCCCCAAATTTACAAGATATTGAAATGGAGGTTCTTAATGATGTTTTTTCTCAACCTTATTTTATGTGTTTTCATAATCAATAGATTTTGAAACTTTCAGAGTTTTCTTTAACTTTCATAGGTGTATCATCGTTTTCCGGATGAATATCCTTTTTTTTGAAATTGGTAACATTTGTATTAAATATAAACATGACTGCACTAAACCAATGTAGTCATCCATAATTACAAAAGGGAGTACAAAGAGAGACAAGCTAAGTCTCTATAGAGATCATAATAGGTCTAAAACATCAAAAATACTTTCACTCTCTTCTAAGCACTCCTGTTTACACCAAAAACAAAAGAGCGTAAGGCAGCTCCTTTTCAACTTTTGTATTGAGCTATGTGAATCTTCAAAACATCTTAGGTTCCTTTCTTTCCAAATTGCCCAGCATACACATGTATGGACAATATTATTTTTTTTTGGCAATCCGCTAGGCAAGCGCCTAGGGCTAGTTTTTTATTAATAAATAAAAATAAAAGTACAACAATTAGGAATAGTACAAATAAGGGGGACAATAGCACCGATATTGTTACCTATATGCCTTGGCTATATAATCACTCCTCTGCGCCTCACATTGCGTTATGATGGCAGCCTCATGTAGAGGATTCATGGTGTAGCTGCCGGCAATGTCTCACGAGGGCATATAATCTCATAGCCGTGTGGATATTTTTCCAAAGGCATAGGACCAAGGCAACTCAAACCGGGCTAAACCTTACCTTACTAATCCTATTGAGGCAATGAAAAGGCCTCACCTACTAGCACGCATGTAAAAAATAAGAACTGGAGAGTACCAAATATTCAATGATCATCACAGAGTTTATAACATACTCTGTGATGATATTACAAATGAGAATACTAATAAAGTGGTATAATAGAATGAAGTACCAATTTGGTTCATGTCCCTTCTTTTCCAAACATGTAAAATCTGCAATTTGCAGTTCTTTGTTGTTTTCCTCAACCGTGTTCAAAAAGTATTCAAAAATCATCATTTCTTTTTTGAACGGTTGGACCTCGTTGAGGTAGTTGGGGCATTCTTCTTTTGTTTGGCAACTCTCATTGGAGGTCGCCTAACATTTAAAAAATCACTGACCTTGTCATCCCAACTATTTTTCCTTGTATGTGCTTTTTTTATTTTTCCACTATGCATAGGTGATAGGTCACCTTTTCTTGATGCCTCTTCCCGACATTGATTTAAGATATCATCTTCCTCTCCTTCTTCATATATATCTCTACCTACCAAAATTGGATTTGGCATGTGTTGAGAAACACATTGAGTCATCAATGTATTTCCAGCTTGTGCAGGAACCATATTTGCCATACTTTGTTGTTGTTTTTGTGATTTGTTCCTACTCACATTCCCACGACCAGTGCAAGAGACTGTTTGACTTAAAGAAAGTAGAGGAGCAGACTTACAATTGCATCAAGTAGTTGTCTCTCCTCAACCGAAATAATTGGAGTAGTTGTTGTGAGTTGCTGCTGCCCAGAATTTGGTTTTGTTGCTGCTGTGCGATCACCAGTATGCATACTAGTTGAGGCTTGCAGATCATTTTGTTGTTGCTGCATTTTAAGTGTTGGTGTAATCACAATTTGACTTGTATTAACACCTGGAGTGGCCTGCTTGGCACATGTTTCCGCTGCGCTAACCAACCTTCCAGCTGCTGCATCTGGCATAGCAGCAGTAGGAGAGTTTCTGGGGATGAAAATAGGAGCATGAATGTTCAATTTGGTCGTGGGACTTGATGTTGTTGCCTCATGAGGCTTTGGCTTTACTGGAGGATCGATCTCCTCACCTGCACTCTCCTGCTCACCTTCTTCAGATGAATAGCCAGCAAACCCATCACCCCAATCATCTTCATCATCCTCCTCTCGTTGTTCACGCCACAACTTAGAATTGATAGCCATTTCCTTTACCTTTTGTTGGATAACCTCATTGTTGTTCCCAGTTGACAGGACAAGCTGCCCAGATTCACCTTTGAACTCCCTAAAAGACTCTACTGACTGAGAAGGGACATCAAACACGAATGTGTTCAAAGTCACCATTGGTTGTTTAACCAAGGTGGTGTTCATTACCATTTCTGCCTAGGCCTGTTTGATAATGTTTTCCACTTGTGAACTGGAAAAAAGAATCGTAGGAGTGCTGGACCTTGGTACAAGCTCGCCCTTTGACACTTCTGCTACACTTCTATTTATAGCATTTTGTCGCTGCTCAACCTGCATCATTTTTTTCTATTTGTAGTGCTTTTTTGCTGGAAATCGTTGTCCAGTTATTCTTACTAATTTGTTGCCCAGCTTCCTTTGTATCTTTTTCAGCTGTTGAAACAATTTCAGCTGGAACTAAAACAACAGTAGATACATCTACAGGAGTTGTACCTGCTACTGCTGATTTCTCAAGTGGTTCAACCAGTGCAACAACATGATCAACAGTTGTTTTCAATGCAGTATTAGACTTCGAATGTGCACCTACTCCACTATGTCCTGCCCCTGCTACACCTGCAGTTGAATTTTCCATATTCACAGCCTTACAGGCTGTAGCATCAGCACACTCGAAGGCCTCAGTACTTACATGTTCCTGGCCCTCCTCATTCACAATAATAGCTTTGTATCCTGTTGCATTATCAGCTTGTTCACCTATACCATTAATAGGTCGATCACCTCCCGCTACTGTCCCTATACTACTGCAATTCCCTCGATTCCTAGCTAAGGCACGATCGACAGGAACAATAGCGACACTCTTTGAGATCCCAAAATTGCTGAGAATCTGTGCACCATCAGAGATATTAACATCAGTTTTTTCTACTTGCACAACACCTCTAACACATGTTGCATCTGCTCTTTTACTCAAATCATCACACACTTGCTGCCTAGCATTCTTATCATTTTCTGATCCTTCTATAAGTTGTTGCCCAGCTCTCTTAGCATTCAAAAAATCTCTTGCATCACCCTGCAATTTTTCAACTATTTGATGCTCATTCTCATCACAAACACGAGCTGCTTGAACTGCCTTTCCTTTTAAGCGCCGACATTGATTTTCTTCGTGTCCTTGATGCTTACAATGGCCACAATACGAAGGCAAATTATCATAGATAATTTCCTGGTAATCCTCAACAATCTTACCAGTTTTAACATCAAGATATTGAAGCCTAATCTTTTCAGGAAGTTTGTCAAGTAAATCAATGATAACCTTGACTCTTGTTATGCTAGGACGAGATCTAACTTGTGTTGCCTTATCAATTGCGATTGGTTTTCCAATAGCAGCCG